CACAGGTCGAGAATCACTGTCTTAAGGACTAGAAACTTGTTTTTAAAAATAATAATAATAAAAAAATAAACAGCACAGAGGAGGCTGAATGCTACACTAGCCTGGCAAGTCATTCAAAGGTGCACTTTGGGCCTTACCTGCCCACGGAGAGGATGGTGATCTCCCCCGGCTGGACACGGCTGGACACAGCCTCGGTGGACCGTAGCATCTCCGGCCACTTCGTCTGGCTGCAGCGGGTGCAGCTGGGGCCCGAGCGCATGGCCAGGCCCTGGATGGTGTGGAGGTGGTGCTGATGCTGGCAGATGTGGGGGATCTGGGGCAGGAGATGCAACCTGGACAGGGCGGGGGAAGAAACGTGCGTCATTTGGAATGATGGAGACAAAGGGCCAATCGGAGACCGGCTAGGACGGTCTTGGCAGGCGCTGGATTGGCTCGGGTTGGTTGGCTGTCAAAGCCCATCATCCTTAACCCTGGGCTCAGAAGGATGGGATGCAGCGTTCAGGGACGGCGGTCGAGGCATCGGATCTGCTGAGCTGGGAAAACTGGGGTTCAAATCCCCGTTTGACGAGTCAATAAAAAAAAAAAATCAGGGAATAGCCATAGCAACAGCCCTTAGATTTATAGACCGCTTTCTCGTGCTTTCCAGCTCTCTGTAAGCCAGTGTTTCTCAACCTGGACAATTTTAAGGCATGTGGACTTCAACTCCCAGAGTGGAATTCTGGGAGTTGAAGTCCACATGCCTTAAAATTGTCAAGGTTGAGAAACACTGCGAGTCTAAGCGGTTTACAGAGTCGGCCTATTTGGCCCCAACAATCCGGGTCCTCATTTTAGCGGCCTCAAGAAGGACGTAATGCTGAGTCAACCTTGAGCCGGTCAGGATCGAACTGGCGGCAGTGGGAATGCAGAGTTTGTCTGCAATGCCACATTCCAACCACAGTGCCACTGTGGGAACCAGCTTGCCCCGGAAATAAACCCATTAAGAAGATGTACGGGTTCAAAAGTCTTAAAATGGTGCTTGGGAGGTGCATAAAAAAAAGGGTCAGGGTTTTGAGGATATCACAACAGCCACCCTGGTGCCTTTTGATACACACACACACGCACACACACACACACACACCCACACACAAACACACAAGGACACTCCCAACCCCCAACAAGGCTGTGATTTGCGCAATCCACCAGACCCCGAACAGCAGAAAAAGAAGCCAGATTAAAGCTATTTGTCTTGTATTAATAGGGAGACACTATATATAATAACTCTTATGTACATAATGTATAATACATTCTTTATTTATGAGATTTTTATCCCGCCTTTATGATTTTTAGAAATCATTCAAGGTGGCAAATATTCTTTCCTATTTTCATCAGCACAACACTGTCAGGTGCATTGGGCTGACAAGAGACCGGCTGAAGGTCACCTAAGGCGGGACTAGAACTCGCCGCCTCCTGGTGATTGGCCCGAAGTCACCCAGCTGGCTCTCATGCCTAAGGCGGGACTAGAACTCATGGTCTCCTGGTGATTGGCCCAAAGTCACCCAGCTGGCTGTCATGCCTAAGGCGGGACTAGAACTCACCGCCTCCTGGTGATTGGCCCAAAGTCACCCAGCTGGCTGTCATGCCTAAGGCGGGACTAGAACTCACGTCTCCTGGTGATTGGCCCAAAGTCACCCAGCTGGCTGCCATGCCTAAGGCGGGATTAGAACTCACCGCCTCCTGGTGATTGGGCCAACGTCACTCAGCTGGCTGTCATGCCTAAGGCAGGACTAGAACTCACCGCATCCTGGTGATTGGCCCAAAGTCACCCAGCTGGCTGTCATGCCTAAGGTGGGACTAGAACTCACCGCCTCCTGGTGATTGGCCCAAAGTCACCCAGCTGGCTGTCATGCCTAAGGCGGGACTAGAACTCACCGTCTCCTAGTGCAGGGGTAGGCAACCTCAGCTCTTTTATGACGCATGGACTTCAACTCCCAGAATTCCTGAGTCAGCTATGCTGACTCAGGAATTCTGGGAGTTGAAGTCCATGCGTCATAAAAGAGCTGAGGTTGCCTATGGCCCACAGTCATCCAGCTGCTTTTCACCCTTAAGACAGGACTAGAACTCTCCATCTCCTGGTTTCTAAGCCAGCACCTTAACCACTAGCCAAACCGGCTAAAACGGCCCCAAAATCTTTGCGATAAAAGTCTCTTCCAGCTCAGCCTTCCTGTTAAAAACCTTCCAACTTTGTGGAGCAGAAAGACTGCAAGAAAAAAAAAGAGTTGTTTTTTTTTATTTTGCTCCAGATAGAAAGGAAGTGGGTCACCTACTTGTTCACAGGCTTGTAAGTTGGCTGGGTGAGTTGCTTGCTGTGGTACTCCTTCAGCATCTCTTCTAGGACGGCTGCATTTTCTGCAGGCAAGAAATTTGGAGGAAATCAGGGTTTTTAACAAGCGCCAAGGAAATGAAAGCCAGCGAGGAAAGTCAGGACATCTCCAATGCACCGTAAAGAAAAAAAAAATCAGATTTCTGGAGGGCGGCTTAAACCATCCGGCGCTTCGGTGGGACATGCACTACAAATTTGCACACACACATACACACACGTACACAAATGCACACACACACATATCACCTGGAAGGCAGCAGTGACGAACAAAATTCATGATGCACCCAGAAAACCTCCCAAGGACAGTTTTTAAGGGGCTGAGTTCAATCTGACGCTACCTTTATTGTTCTCTTATGGCTCTTCCAAATATCCTGCTGGCATGCTAACCTAAACAGGAAGTCCTCGACTTACGTCGACGCCTGAGCCCAAAATTTCCACTGCTAAGCAAGGCAGTTTTAAGTGGGTTGCGCTCCATTTTACAACCTGCCTCCAGAAGCGGTGAATGCGCCAACAACTGGAAAAATTTTTAAGAAGAGACCGGACAGCCATTGGTCCGAAATGGTATAGGGCTTCCTGCCTGAAGCCGGGGGTTGGACTAGATGACTTCCAAGATCCCTTCCAACTTTATTATTATTATTATTATTATTAACTGCGGTGATTCGCTTAACAAATGTGTGCAAGAAAAGTTGTAAAATGGGGCAAAACTCGCTTAACAAATTTCTCAGCAACAAATTTTGGGCTCAATGGTGGTCATACGTTGAGCACTACCTGTACACACACACACACACACACACACACACACACACACTCTCTCACACACACACAAACACACACCTTGTGATGCAAAAGCAGAAAGGGCCAGTTACTCGGCACCCAGTCCAACACTACAAGCAAGGCAGAGCATTCGGATCTGTTGTGGGTCTGGGATCTCCTCAATCCTTGTTCTCAAAGGCTTGTTGCTGTTGTTAGTTGCGAAGTCGTGTCTGACCCATCGCGACTCCCTGGACAATGTTCCTCCAGGCCTTCGTGTCCTCTGCCATCTTCTGGAGTCCATTGAAGCTCACGCCTCCTGCTTCAGGGACTCCCTCCAGCCACCTCATTCTCTATCGTCCCCTTCTTCTCTTGCCCTCCATCTTTCCCAGCATCAGGCTCTTCTCCAGGGAGTCCTTCCTTCTCATTAGGTGGCCAAAGTCCTTGAGTTTCCACTTCAGGATCTGGCCTTCTCAAGAGCAGTCGGGGTTGATCTCCTCCAGGACTGACCGGTTGGATCGCCTTGCAGTCCAAGGGACTCGCAGGAGTCTTCTCCAGCACCGTAGTTCAAAGGCCTCCATTCTTTGGCGCTCGGCCTTTCTTATGGTCCAACTTCCACAGCCATACATTGCAACTGGGAAAACCATGGCCTGGACTATACGCACTTTTGTTGGCAGGGTGACGTCTCTGCTTTTTAGTATGCTCTCTAGATTGGCCACACCTTTCCAGGAGCAATTATTCCTTGAAACCAATGCAGTGAACTGGCCCTCCTGAAGAGCAACCGACAATATTGACAGGACGCACAAACGCACCCTAAATTTGGTGGAAAAGGTAGGGAAGACTTCCTCCGAAAAGAGCCCCCACCTTTTTTCTCGGTGATCAGCCGCACCAGCACCCCGATGGTATCCTCGTTAAGGTCTTCGGTCTTATAGCCCGAACTGTTCCCTAAAAAAATGAAATTCACAGTTAGAGCCCCGATTTTTGAGAACTAGTTTAGTCTAGCAGTGAAGGCATCAGGCTAGGAACCAGGAGGCTATGAGTTCGAATCCTGATTTTAGGCACGAAAGCCGGCTGGGTGACTTTGGGCCAATCACCAGGAGACGGAGAGTTCTAGTCCTGCCTGAGACACAAAAGCTGGGTGGGTGACTTTGGACCAATCACCAGGAGACGGAGAGTTCTAGTCCCGCCTTAGACACAAAAGCTGGTTGGGTGATTTTGGGCCAATCACCAGGAGACGGAGAGTTCTAGTCCTGCCTGAGACACAAAAGCTGGGTGGGTGACTTTGGACCAATCACCAGGAGACGGAGAGTTCTAGTCCCGCCTTAGACACAAAAGCTGGTTGGGTGATTTTGGGCCAATCACCAGGAGACGGAGAGTTCTAGTCCCGCCTTAGACACAAAAGCTGGGTGGGTGACTTTGGGCCTATCACCAGGCGGTAGTGAGTTCTAGTTCTGCTTTAGACACGAAAGCCGGCTGGGTGACTTTGAGCCAATCACTAGGAGACACTGAGTTCTAGTTCTGCCTTAGGCCTGAGAGCCATTTTATTGGGTGCTGTTCTAACGTCGAATGGTCACTAAACAGACGATTGTAAGTCAAGGACTGCTGATATTGCACCTCAGAGACAGGAGATGGCGCTATCTTAGCATCTGTTTCTTGTCCGCCATCAATCGGTTCCAGAAGCTGGACATCTGGACTGAAGTTGGCCAGAGTAAGCTAACCTAGAGCTGAGCCTAGGGTCAGTTGTGGCTCAGGCGTGCTCACGTCTGACTCCTCAAAAGATACCCGACAGTTTTGTGGCATTCGGGACTCAAAACGAGTTTTGCTCCGTCGCCATTAAGCACAGCCGTCAGTCCTGGCTGCTCACACGATACAGCACGATGGAGAAATAAATGTGAATTTTTTAGATTCAGCGAGATTGCAACTTCGACCCAAGGATTTCTGCAGCGGGCAGTTGGTGCCTATCATACGATTCAGCAAGGAGAACAACCCCGTTCTATATCTAGGTAGCAAAAATAAAAGGCACCTGTCTACGGCATAAGGCAGAGAGGTCCATCTTCGGCAATTTTAGGACCTGTGGGCTTCCAACTCCCAGAATCCCCCAGTCAGCTATGTTCTTACTATTCCTCAGCCAGCTATGGCTCTGTCTCTGATAATTAGGCATTATCTAGTCCAAATGTGACCAATTTAAGACTTGTGGACTTCAACTCCCAGAATTCTTCAGCCAGCATGGCTGGCTGAAGAATTCTGGGAGTTGAAGTCCACAAGTCTTAAAAGTCAACCAAGTTGGACACTCCTGGTCTAAGGTCTCCTGCCTTGAGCAAGGGGTTGGACTAGAACAGGGGTAGTAGGCAACCTTGGCTCTTTTATGACGTATGGATTTCAACTCCCAGAATTCCTGAGCCAGTATGGCTCAGCTTGGAAACCTCTCCCTTTCCCCTCAGCATGGCTGGCTCAGGAATTCTGGGAGCTGAAGTCCACCAGTCATAAAAGAGCCAAGGTTGCCTACCTCTGGCCTAGTCTGTGCAGCCATTAGGTCTACAGTAAGGCTCATTTAGAGCAGGGATCTTCAAACATGGCCCTTTTATGACTCCTGGACTTCAACTCCCAGAATTCCTGAGCCAGCATGGGGGAACTTTGGCCCCTTCATGACTTGGGGACTTCAACTCCCAGAATTCCTGAGCCAGCATGAGGGAAACTTTGGCCCCTTCATGACTGGTGAACTTCAACTCCCAGAATTCCTGAGCCAGCATGGGGGAACTTTGGCCCCTTCATGACTTGGGGACTTCAACTCCCAGAATTCCTGAGCCAGCATGGGGGAACTATGGCCCCTTCATGACTCGTGGACTTCAACTCCCAGAATTCCTCAGCCAGCATGGCTCAGCTTGGAAACCTCTCCCTTTCCCCTCAGCGTGGCTGGCTCAGGAATTCTGGGAGTTGAAGTCCACCAGTATAAAAGAGCCAAGGTGGCCTACCCCTGGACTAGAAGACCTCCCAGGGCCCTTCCAGCCCTGGAACTCTATGGTTCTAGATGCCTAGAATGGGGAGACCCAGCTTGGGAGGGTCTAAGCCCCTCAACCAGTCGACCTCGATCCAGCGATGACACTGCTCGAAAGCATGTACAGAGCGCCGAAGGACGGCGAGAGACCTCTCCAGCGTTGCCAGGGCTGCCACGAAAAGAGCTCGCACGCCACACGCGCGGTGTATCCCCCCCCCCTCACCGGTTCTGTCTGATTTGGCGGCCTCTTCGTCTGTCTCCTTCTGGGCCGTGCAATGGTACCCCTTCTTCATCAGCAGATTGCAGAAGAGGATGCCCAGCAAGCCCATAATGCAGAAGACGGGGACGATGGCCAGCACCGCGTACTGCGTGGCGCTGTCGTCCGGCTTCCCATCCCGGGTGCCGTTCAGCGCCGTTTTCTCGCCTCGTCTGGGAGGGGCCTCGGCGTTTCGGCTCAGGCGAGCGGGAGGTTTTCTGGACCCTTCGGGAGAAGAAGAGGGGAAGAGGTCAGCGAGAAGACCTCACCGTGGATGGGTCATCAATGAGTGCAGGGGACACAGGCAGCCCTCGGCTTAACGACCGTTCGTTGGGTGACCGTCGTTAAGTCGAGGACCGCCTGGGATATCTGACGATTCTTGGCGAAGGGGCAAAATGAAAACGAGTGGAGACAACGGCCGCATCTGGAAACGATCGCTGGAAAACCAAGACGAGACGAGGCCAGGGGCAGAATGTGGCCAGACATCCATGCACCATTCCCTGTCTCCACATGTTCCCACATCTCCCCTTCCTTGAAAATCCCTGGAATGCTTTCCGGTGGATTCTTTCGACATTTCCCCTAGCCCAGTGGTTCTCAACCTTTTTAATGCCGCGACCCCCAACTGGTTGTAAGTGGAGGACTACTCAACCGGTCGTAAGTCGAGGACTACTCAACTGGTGCAGCACCGTTTGCAGAATGGGACTTTTGGCGGGCTCAGCAGGGCAGAGACAGCCTGGACAATTCCTATTGGCTTTTGAAAGCCAATAGAATTAGACTTTATTCAAGAGAGTCTGTTCTATTGGCTTTCAAAAGCCAATAGAATAAAAGGGAGTAGCACAGCTAAGGAAAAGGGGGAAAAAATGGTGGACTGCTTTGTTTGGCGACCCCCAAGAAATGGTCGTTTGACCCCAAATGGGGTCCCGACCCACAGGTGGAGAACTACTGCCCTAGCCAAAATATGGCCACTAATATTGTAATAATAATTAGTATTCAACTAGAGGGGATATCTGCATATCTGTATACCCTTCCAACTTTTTTTATCATCATCATCATCAAGTTGGAAGGGACCTTGAAGGTCATCTAGTCCGACCCCCTGCTCAGGCTGGAATCCCTATCCCATTTCAGACAAAGGGCTGTCCAGTCTCTTCTTAAAAACCTCCAGTGATGGAGCATCCACCGCTTCTGGAGGCAGGTGGTTCCACTGGTTAATTGTTCTCATTGTCAGGAAGTTTCTCCTTAGTTCTAGGTTGCTACTAGGTTACTACTATTGACCCAGGTACCACCAATACTATACCTGTGCATTTGAGGTTTGTTGCCTAAATGTAGAGCCTTACTTTTTTTTTTTTTTTTACTTTTTACTAACCATGAGCTTTTCTCAGTGAAATACATCTACTCCGTTTAAAGGGTTTTCAGACTATTGTGAGCAACTATCCAGAATGTGGGAAAACACAGTCCGGAAAAATATTTTCTACTCCTGTTTGCTATCTAATTTTAAAGGACAGAAACATCGCAACCAGCCCTTGGCAGCCTTAACAACGATGGTCCACTAGGACTCTGAGATCCCTCTTGCAGTTTAATAATAATAATAATAATAATAATAATAATAATAATAATAATAATAATAATAATAATAATAATAATACCATCAAACATCCACATCTGCCTATCCCAGGCCTATCCCAGGTCCTGAGTAAGGACTCGATAGGTAGACAAAATGCCAAATCCAGTCTGAACATCTGGCTGACTGTACAATGATCAATAATAATAATAATAATAATAATAATAATAATAATAATAATAATAATAAAGTTGGAAAGGACTTTGGAGGTCATCTAGTCCAACCCCCTGCTCAGGCAGGAAACCCTATACCATTTCAGACAAATGGCTGTCCAGTCTCTTAGAATAGAATAGAGCTGGAAGGGACCTTGGAGGTCATCTAGTCCAACCCTCTGCTCAGGCAGGAAACCCTATACCATTTCAGACAAATGGCTGTCCAGTCTCTTCTTAAAGACTTCCTGTGTTGGAGCATTCACCGCTTCTGGAGGCAATGGAGAAGCCAGATTCCCTTAATGACCGTGTGACTTACTTAACAACTGCAGTTACTCGCTTAGCGACCGTGGCAAGAAGGTTCGTAAAATGGGGCTCAGTTGTGGCTGAGGACCGTGTATACTTGAAAGGGCTAGTTCTGGTGGTACATAGTGATGACGTCCCGCGGAGCTTCATGGGCTCGGGGCATGGACAAGCCCTCGTTCGAATGGATAGGCAGCCCCCTCCCCTGCTTTGCTCTCACCTTGACATCCGGATACCCCACTGGGGGCCGCCAGGCAAGGGAGACACGGGCTCCTCGGATCCGTCTCCCCTTCTGGACTGTAGTACCTGCGGGAAGCAGAAAGAGGAGACGTAAGAAAAAATCTCGGGCGAGCAAAGAAACGGGGAGAACATCAAAATGTCCACCAGGAGGAGCAGATGGAGGTTTCCATGACCGTCTTGTCAGAGAAAGGGACAGCCCCCCCCCCCGTCTTGCATTCTGGGGAAAAGGGGGGGCTAATGGCACCCAGAGATCTTGCCTGAGTCAACTCAGCCATAAATCAGTGCGAATGTTTTGATTATAGGTAGTCTTTTCTGCTTATTATCTCTTTCTTTCTCTACATATACATATAAAAAAATCTCTCTATTATGTATCGTCTATCCATCTGTCTGTCCATCCGTCCATCCATCCATCCATCCATCCATCCATCCATCCATCCATCTATCTATCTATCTATCTATCTATCTATCTATCTATCTATCATCTATCCATCCACCCATAATCTCTCTCTCTCTCTTTCTATCATCTTTCCTTCTCTCTCTCTCATCTCTCGTCTGTCTGTCTGTCTGCCTGTATCTATCTATCTATCTATCTATCTATCTATCTATCTATCTATCTATCTATCTATCTATCCATCCATCCATCCATCCATCTATCTATCTATCTATCTATCCATCTATCTATCTATCATCTTTCCTTCTCTCTCTCTCATCTCTCATCTGTCTGTCTGTGTCTGTCTCTCTCTCTCTATATATAATCTTTTCTTCTCTCTCATCTCTGTCTGTCTGTCTGTCTATCTCTATCATCTTTCCTTCTCTCTCTCATCTTTCTCTCTCCTCTCATCTGTCTGTCTATCTATCTATCTCTATCATCTTTCCTTCTCTCTCTCTCATCTCTCATCTATCTGTATCTATCATCTATCCATCCATCATCTATCTATCTATCTATCTGTCTGTCTGTCTATCTATCTATCTATCTATCTATCTATCTATCTATCTATCTATCTATCTATCTATCTATTTATCTATCTATCTCTATCATCTTTCCTTCTCTCTCTCTCATCTCTCATCTGTCTGTCTGTCTGTCTGTCTCTGTCTCTCTGTCTGTCTCTCTGTCTATCTATCTATCTATCTATCTATCTATCTATCTATCTATCTATCTATCATCTTTCCTTCTCTCTCTCATCTGTCTGTCTGTCTATCTATCTATCTATCTATCTATCTATCTATCTATCTATCTATCTATCTATATCTCATCTTTCCTTCTCTCTCTCATTTGTCTGTGTCTGTCTGTCTGTCTGTCTGTCTGTCTGTCTGTCTGTCTGTCTATCTATCTATATCTCATCTTTCCTTCTCTCTCTCTCTCTCATCTGTCTGTCTGTCTATCTCTATCATTTATCTCTATCTATCTATCTATCTATCTATCTATCTATCTATCTATCTATCTATCCATCCATCCATCCACTTACCTACCTATATCTCTACCCCCCCCCCGCCTCTGCTTACATATATGCTTACAAACTATGGTAATGTTGGGCTTCAGTAATGTTTGAAACTGATGAATCAGAACAGAGCTGGAAGGGACCTTGGAGGTCATCTAGTCCAGCCCTCTGCTCAGGCAGGAAACCTATACCATTTCAAATAGCTGGCTGTCCAGTCTCTTCTTAAAAGCCTCCAGTGATGGAGAACCCACAACTTCTGGTGGCCAGCTGTTCCACTGGTTAATTGTTCTCACTGTCAGGAAGTTTCTCCTTAGTTCCAGGTTGCTTCTCTCCTTGATGAGTTTCCATCCGTTGCTTCTTGTCCTGCCTTCAGGCGCTTTGGAGAATAGCTTGACTCCCTTTTCTTTGGGGCAGCCCCTCAGATACTGATGAACGTACTCTCTTGAGTGATACTGTACAGTGTCCCAGCTTCCAACAAGCAAAGCCAAGAGAGGAAAGCCAGATGTGCTTAACAACTATGCAATTTGCTTAACAGCTACAATGGTTCCCTTAAGGCAGGCATGTCAAACTTGTGACGTCACATGACGTTGCACAACGTATCGGGCCAGTTTTGCCATTGCCGGCAATGGGGTGGGCACAGCTTCCACGTGATGCGTCTGGCCCACAGGCTGGCAGTTTGACACCCCTGCCTTAAGGACTGCAGCCAATAACAATGGCCTCGCTTAGCAATGTCCATATTGCGGTTGTAAATCAAGGACTACCTGCATTGTAAATTATGTCTTTCTGGGGACTGGGCCTAGATGTAAAGACACATGAAATAAAATTACCATTCACTCTATTGCAGAGAATGCCTTATTCAGGATCAAGTGAGACATGCACTTGGGCCCAGTTCAGGAAACACAATCACAATGGGAGATTTTGATTTGTCAGCCCAATTTGGCTCTGGAGTCAGCAGTGGGAATTATGACTAAGAAGAGATCATATCTCCTGCTTTGGATTACACAGGCCCAGCTGAGTTCAGCCAGATTTTGTGGTGACTCACTCAAACCCTCTCAACCTTTTCCACCCTGGAATTCCGAACAAAATGCTGCAATTCTCACATGTCTGCTGCACATGAGATGGCCACATCACCACAATGTACAATGTTTTGGGATGGAAATTGGGGTTTATAGACAGTGGGTCCACTTGAATGGCCAACGCCAAAAAGATCATCAAACTGGGGACAGTCGCATGGGGATCCGATTAACAGCTTAATGACCGTAATTCTGTGCTCAATTGTGGTTATAAGTTGAGGACTATCTGTATAAAAGCCACCTCAAGTATTTCACCAACAATCTAGTTCTTAGAGGCAGTCAAGCTATTCTCAGCGGCCGCCCCAAAGAGGGAGTTAGTAACTTGCAGTCCTGGTAAGGATCCTGGTCGAGGGCCAGAAAAACACGACAGGCCGTCCTCGGCTTGCAAAAGTCCGTTTAGTGACCGTTACAACGGCACTGAGCAAGGTGACTTACGGCCATTTTTCACACTTACGACCGTTGCAGCATTCCTAGCGTCGAGGGATCAAAATACAGAAGCGTCGCAACTGGTTCATCTTTACGACGGTCGCAGCATCCCGAGGGGGGGGTCACGTTGACCCCCTTTTGCAAACTTCTGACAAGCAAAGTCAACAGGGAAGGCCGATTCACTTAACCACCGGGTGACTCCCTTCACAACTGCAGTGATTTACAAAACAAAAGCCGCCAGAAAGATCACAAAAGGGGGCACAATTCACTTAGCAACGGTCTCGCTTAGCGACATAAATTTCAGAATCCATTGTAGTCTAGGTCACGGACCACCTGTAGTGGTAGTCCTTGACTTATGACTGCAACCGAGCGCAGAATTAAGTGAATCGCTGCAGTTGTTAAGATAGTATCAGGGGGTTGGACTAGGCCAGTGGTTCTCAACCTGTGGGTCGGGACCCCATTTGGGGTCGAACGACCATTTCACGGGGGTCGCCAAACAACGTAGTCCGCCATTTTTTTCTTTTTCCCCCTTTTCCTTAGCTGTGCTACTCCCTTTTATTCTATTGGCTTTTGAAAGCCAATAGAATAGACTCTCTTGAATAGAGTCTAATTCTATTGGCTTTCAAAGGCCAATAGGAATTGTCCAGGCTGTCTCTGCCCTGCTGAGCCCACCAAAAGTCCCATTCTGCAAACGGTGCTGCACCAGTTGAGTAGTCCTCGACTTATGACTGGTTGAGTAGTCCTCAACTTACGACCGGTTGGGGGTCGCGGCATTAAAAAGGTTGAGAACCACTGGACTAGATGACCTCCAAGGTCCCTTCCATCATCATCATCATTATTATTATCATCATTATCAATATCATTATTATCATCATCATTATTATTATTATTATCATTATTATTATTATTACTATGATCATCATCATCATCATCATTATTATTACTATTATCATCATTATTATCATATCATATTATTATTATTATTATTATTATTATTGAGGATCATTGCACAGTCAGCCAGATTGTTATTATTATTGTTGTTGTTGTTGTTGTTAAGGGAATGTCACTTTCCCCATCTAGTGGCCTTGTCATAAGGTCGCTAAAAGGGGATCATATGACCCCCTGGGATGCTGCAATGCAGCCGTCATAAATGTGAGTCAATTGCCAAGTCTGAATTTTGATCACGTGACCCAGGAATGCTGCAACGGTCGTAAGTGTGACGAACAGCCGTTTTTTCAGTGCCGTGGTCACTTCAGTCACTAAATAGACAGTTGTAAGTTGAGGACTGCCTGTAATCTTCCAAGAGGTCAGCAGGAAGTAGATTTCTGATTTCTGCAGCTGCTCCGCGCAAAAATGCAAGGAATCTAGGAATCTGGTCGCAGCCCCCGGAGTGAGTTGGTCAGTGGGCGGCCACGAAGATCACGAGAAAGACGAGAAGGAGAATACCTCACCAGCGCTGGCAGCCGAGCCCCATCCCTTTGCAGTGGATAGCTAAAAAAAGTCCAGAAGCAGGTCTGTGTGTGGGTGTGTGGGTGTGTGCAGGCACATGACGGAGACATGTGTGAAGAACTGTGGGGATCCTGGCACACTCAGCACACCAGGCAGGAGGTCACTGAGGCCAAAGCAGATCGAGGCAGAGCCCAAATCTCTGCACAGTTTTAATCTCTAGCCCTGGGAGAGTTTTCTGTTCCAAGTTGCATACGGCAGTCCTCAGTTTACAACAGTTCCTTTAGTGACCGTTCGAAGTTACAACAGCACTGAAAAAAGAGACTTATGACCGTTTTTTCACACTTAGGGCCATTGCGGGCTCCCTATGGCTCCCTATGCATTCCTTTTTTTTTGTATCAGCCAAAAAAGCGAATACAATTCTTAGATGTATAAACTGAGAATCAAAATCAGGTGAAGTAGGAGCACCGCTTTATAAAGCCGTAGTAAGGCCACACACCTGGAATACAGCATCCAGTTTTGATCACCATCATGTAAATAAGATGTTGAGACTTTGGAAAAAGTGCAGAGAAGAGCAACAAAGAGGATTAAAGGCCTGGAGAGAAAACCATATATAAAGAACGGTTGCAGGATTTGGATGTAGGCCAGTCTAGATCAGGGCTTTTCAACCAGGGGTACGGGTACCACCTGTGGTACATTGGCACCTGGCAGGTGGTACGTGACCATCCTAGAAAACGGGTAGTAGGGGAGGGGAATGAGCTGAACCGGGGGCAGCACCGCACAAGCCTGAGCGAGAGACGGCTGGAGCTGCAGGGCTGTCAGGGCTTAGTGGAAGCGCCAGGATCAGTGCCGCTTTCCAGCTGATTGGCGCTTCTTCGGGGCTGTCAGGTATGTTTTAGCCTCCAGTCCCCTAATCATCTTTGTTGCTCTTCTCTGCCCTCTTTCTAGAGTCTCAACATCTTTTTTACATCGTGGTGACCAAAACTGGATGCAGGATCCCAAGTGTGGCCTTACCAAGGCCTTGTAAAGTGGTATTAACACTTCACCTGATCTTGATTCTATCCCTCTGTTAATGCAGCCCAGCACTGTGTTGGCCTTTTTGGCAGCTGCAGCACACTGCTGGCTCCCTATTTAAGGGATTGTCCACTAGGACTCCAAGGTCCCTCTCACAGTTACTACCATTGAGCAAGGTACTCCCTCTACTATACCTGTACATTTGGGGTTTTTTGCCTAATTGGAGGAAAGAATTGTGCTTTGATACTATGAACTCAAGCGGAGGGGAATTCAGATTTTGGCTTGGCCTATGTACGTGCCGATGCTATGCTGCTCGAATAAAGATTCTTTAAGGTAAACAATGCCTCAAAGTTCTTTGAAGAGTTTCATCTGTCGGAACCGTGATGCAACATCCCAAACCAGGTGTCCACTGATTCTAGATGACCTTCTCCATTTCTCAGAGACCTTTCCTTCCCTGAGCTTCTCTGGAGATAGGAGAAGACATTTTCTTGCAAAAGAAGTGGAAAGGAAAGGTGCAGGTGAGAACTTACCCAGGTAAGCAGGCACCACACCAAGTGTCTGCAGTCGCCGTTCCGATGTGGAGGTGGACCCTCTTCTTGGCCTCGCAAGGAGTATGCAAGGAGCAGAATCCCAGCCCAGAGGTGGGAGAGAAGGACCCGGCCGGACACGGCTTGCAGGCCATCCCTAATCCTGCACCGTAACCGCATTTCTGTGGGGGAAATGAAAGAAAAACATTGTTTAAAGCAGCAGTTCTCAACCTGTGGGTCGGGACCCCATTTGGGCTCGAACGACCATTTCACGGGGGTCGCCAAACAACGCAGTCCGCCATTTTTCCCCCCTTTTCCTTAGCTGTGCTAACCCCTTTTATTCTATTGGCTTTTGAAAGCCAATAGAATAGACTCTCTTGAATAGAGTCTAATTCTATTGGCTTTCAAAAGCCAATAGGAATTGTCCAGGCTGTCTCTGCCCTGCTGAGCCCGCCAAAAGCCCCATTCTGCAAATGGGGCTGCACCCGTTGAGTAGTCCTTGACTTACGACCGGTTGGGGGTCGCGGCATTAAAAAGGTTGAGAACCACTGGTTTAAAGGAAGGACGGCACCTCGGCTGGGATAAGGCGTCCCTCAAACTCAGTAATTGGGGTTCGTGTGGTGGGGTCCTGGGTGCTTCTCTGAGCTGGGTGGTTTTCTTGCAGACGTTTCATGACCCAACTAGATAACGTCATCAGTGTTAGGAGGGGGGTGGGGGTTTGCTCTCTTTTATACGCTTGCCCTTTCAGTGTTCAGGGCCACTTTCATAGTTACACAGAGCAAATATCTTCCCTCTCCAAACCAACGATGATGGTAGCATCGCCAGGAATACCCTTCCTTCCTTCCTTCCTTCCTTCCTTCCTTCCTTCCTTCCTTCCTTCCTTCCTTCCTTCCTTCTTTTCGTCCTTCCTTGCCTCTCTCCTTCCGTTCCTCCTCCCTCTATCGTTTCTTCTTTTCATTCTCTCCCTTCCTTCTCCTTCCTTCTTTCCCTATCTTCCAATCTTTCCTCCTCCTTCTCTCTGCCCTTCTTCTTTCCCTCCTCCCCTCCTTCCTCTCTTCCACTCGCCCTTCCTCATTTTCTCCCTTCCCTCTCTCTTGTCCCTTCCCCTCCCTCTTTTCTTTCTTTCTTTCTTTCTTTCTTTCTTTCTTTCTTTCTTTCTTTCTCTCTCTTTCTTTCTTCCTTTTTCTTCCTTCCTTCCTTCTCCTTTCTTTTTTCCTCCTTCCTTGCCTCTCTCCTTCTGTTCTTCCTCCCTCTCTCCTTCCTTCTTTTCATTCTCTCCCTTCCTTCTCCTTCCTTCTTTCCCTGTCTTCCATCTTTCCTCCTCCTTCTCTCTGCCCTTCTTCTTTCCCTCCTCCCCTCCTTCCTCTCTTCCACTCGCCCTTCCTCATTTTCTCCCTTCCCTCTCTCTTGTCCCTTCCCCTCCCTCTTTTCTTTCTTTCTTTCTTTCTTTCTTTCTTTCTTTCTTTCTTTCTCTCTCTTTCTTTCTCTCTCTTTCTTTCTTCCTTTTTCTTCCTTCCTTCCTTCTCCTTTCTTTTTTCCTCCTTCCTTGCCTCTCCTTCTGTTCTTCCTCCCTCTCTCCTTCCTTCTTTTCATTCTCTCCCTTCCTTCTCCTTCCTTCTTTCCGTCTTCCATCTTTCCTCCTCCTTCTCTCTGCCCTTCTTCTTTCCCTCCTCCTCTCTCTCCTTCTTCCCTTCCACTTTCCCTTCCTCATTTTCTCCCTTCCCTCTTTTCTTTCTTTCTTTCTTTCTTTCTTTCTTTCTTTCTTTCTTTCTTTCTTTCTTTCTTCCTTCCTTCCTTCCTTCCTTCCTTCCTTCCTTCCTTCCTCCCTTCCTTCCTTCCTTCCTTCCTTCCCCACTCCCCCCTCCTTCATTTGGGTAGTGAATTATCTCCCAGAATTCTCCAGCCAGCATGAATTCTGGGAGCTGAAGTCCACAAATCCTCAAAGTTGAGAAACACCAATTGGGTCAAACAGACCCACTTTCCGAGTTCACACGGGCCACTAAAGTGCTTCTACGGAAAAGATGATGCTGTGTTAACGGAGAGCCTCTGCGGAGGCCTGGAAAGACCATTTACTCACTCTGTCGGGCTCCTCTCCAGCTGGACACGTCTGGCAGAGGACACAGCGACCGTCCGCGCCCCGATACTCTTGGCCCCCACAGGCTTGAGCCCACGCTGGGTGCCAACAGAGAGCCTAAAATAAAAAAGCCGAGAGGAGAGAAAGCTTGTGATTCTCTTTTAGCATCACCCCCTTAGGAGGGAAGGATCCAGGAGGGACGAACAGAAGGGAAAAGATGTCTATTTTCTGCAGAAACGATCAAGGGTATTTATTGATTCGTTCCGGCCTGTCCAATGCACTGCAATGCAGAGCTATTGCTTTTCCTCAAGTAGAACCGAAGGACTCTGAAAACTTAATGTTTTAAAGAAAGATGCCGTGTAAGGTTTCCTGCCTTGGGCTGGGGGCTGGACTAGAAGGCCTCCAGGGTCTCTTCCATCCTTCCATGGTTCTGTATTTCCTTGAAACTTGCAAATGGTTGCTGCAAAGGATGTATTTGATCAAAGTAGGAGCTTCTTTCTTTCTTTCTTTCTTTCTTTCTTTCTTTCTTTCTTTCTTTCTTTCTCTTTCTCTTTCTTCCTTCTTTCTTTCCTTTCTCCCTCTCTCCTTTTCTCCATACATCTCTCTCCCTCCTTCCCCTTCCTTTGTTCCTTCCTTCCTTTCTCCATTCTTTCCTCCATCTCTACAGCCATCCCTCCCTCACTTCCTTCTTCCCCTTCCCTCACACCCACTCCTTCCTTCCTTCCTCCCTTCCTCTTTCCTCCCTTCCTTCCTTCCTTTGCTCCTTCCTTCCTTTGCTCCTTTCTTTCTTCCTCTTTCCTTCCTTCCTTCCTTCCTTCCTTCCTTCCTTCCTTCCTTCCTTTCTTCCTTCCTTCTTCTTTCCTTCCTTTGCTCCTTCCTTCCTTCCTCTTTCCTTCCTTTCTTCTTCCTTCCTTCCTTCTTTCCTTCCTTCCTTCCTTCCTTCCTTCCTTCCTTCCTTCCTTCCTTCTTCTTTCCTTCCTTCCTTCCTTCTTTCCTTCCTTTGCTCCTTCCTTCCTTCCTCTTTCCTTCCTTCCTTCCTTTGCTCCTTCCTTTCTTCCTCTTTCCTTCCTTCCTTTGCTCCTTCCTTCCTTTCTTCCTCTTCCCTTCCTTCCTTCCTCCTTCCTTCCTCTTTCCTTCCTTCCTTTCTTCCTTTTTCCTTCCTTCCTTTGCTCCTTCCTTCCTTCCTTCCTTCCTTCCTTCCTTCCTTCCTCCCTCCCTCCCTCCCTCCCTCCCTGCTTCACATGGGTATTGAATTAACACAGTTGCCCGAGCTTTGACACAAACCACGAACAAATATGCAATAGCATTTTAGATTCGAACAGCCCAAGAAACCTCAACCCCCCCCCCACTGAATCTTAGCTAAGCTTAGCGTGTTGTGTGAATGCAGTCCCACGGATTGCAACTCAACTGCTCCACAGCTGAAGACAGCTGGGACCCTCGCTTCTGCGTTTGCCCTCTAGTCATGCCCAGAAAAGAGGTGATCTATTTCCAACACCGACTCCTTGTGCGGAGACACATCATGGCTGTCCCAAAGGGCAACTGGACTCCATTTTTTTCCCTTTGAAGACATTTCCCTTCTCACGCAAGAAGCTTCTTCGGTTCTGGCTGACTCCTTTCCTTCGGTCAGAACCGAAGAAGCTTCTTGGATGAGAAGCGAAACGTCTTCAAGGGAAAAAACAAAATCCAGTTTGCCTTTTGCAAAAGCACCTTTGGGATTTCTTGCTAAGGGGTTGCTTGCTAAAGCTTCTCGGCCACCATCGGTCTTTTCCTTCGTCTACAAATGTTCCTGAACTGAACCGTTTGAGAATTGCACTCCCCGATCGATGCCAAACCTCAGCAAGTTAACAAGCCACAAAGGAGCCTGGCTGAGTTCTGCAACCTTTAAAAGCTGCAAATCATTTGGATGTGGAAGAATGAACTTTGCAGTCACCCTTCTCCCTAAATCAACTCCTGGCTGAGGCACGTGGGAGGAAAATGCAAAGGGAGGGAGGGATCATTTGCAGAAGAATCGTTCCTAATGGCGGACAAGGCCACCAGAGTCCTCCCCACCAGCTTTGTATCATCTGTGCGAAGAAGAGAATCACACCATCGGAAGGGACCTTGGAGATCTTCTAGTCCAACCCCCTGCTCAGGCAGGAAGCCCTATTCTATTTTAGACAAATGGCTGTCCAGTCTCTTCTTAAAGACTTCCAGTGTTGGAGCACCCACAACTTCTGGTGGCAGGTGGTTCCACTGGTTAATTGTTCTGACTGTCAGGAAGTTTCTCCTTAGTTCCAGGTTGCTTCTCTCCTTGATGAGTTCCCATCCGTTGCTTCTTGTCCTGCCCTCAGGCACTTTGGAGAACAGCTTGACTCCCTCTTCTTTGGGGCAGCCCCTGAGATATTGGAAGACTGCTATTATGTCCCCCCTGGTCCTTCTCTTCATTAAACTGGACATCCCCAATTCCAGCAGCCGTTCCTTATATGTTTTAGCCTCCAGTCCTTTAATCACAATAGGGAATGCCAGAGCTGGAAGGGAACTTGGAGGTCATCTAGTCCAGCCCCCTGCTCAGGCAGGAAACCCTATACCATTTCAGACAAATGGCTGTCCAGTCTCTTCTTAAAAACTTCCAGTGTTGGAGCACCCACAACTTCTGGTGGCAGATTGTTCCACTGGTTAATTGTTCTGACTGTCAGGAAATTTCTCCTTAGTTCTAGGTTGCTTCTCTCCTTGATTAGTTCCCATTTGTTGCTTCTTGTCCTGCCTTCTGGGGCTTTGGAGAATAGAATAACAGAATAACAGAGTTGGAAGGAACCTTGGAGGTCATCTAGTCCAACCCCCTGCTCAGGCAGGTAAACCTATACCATTTTGGAGAAATGGCTGTCCAGTCTCTTCTTTAAAACTTCCAGTGTTGGAGCATTCACCGCTTCTGGAGGCAGGTTGTTCCATTGGTTAATTGTTCTAACTGTCAGGAAGTTTCTCCTTAGTTCCAGGTTGCTTCTCTCCTTGATGAGTTTCCATCCGTTGTTTCTTGTCCTGCCTTCAGGCGCCTTGGAGAATAGCTTGATTGCCTCTTCTTTGGGGCAGCCCCTGAGATACTGGAACACTGCTATCCTGTCCCCCTTCGTCCTTCTCTTCATTAAACTAGACAGACCTAATTCCAGCAGCCGTTCCTTATATGTTTTAGCCTCCGGTGCCCTGATCATCTTTGTTGCTCTTCTCTGCATTCTTTCCAGAGTCTCAACATTTTTTTTTTTTATATCGTGGTGACCCAAACTGGATGCAATATTCCAGGTATGGTTTTACTAAGGTTTTATAAAGAGGTAGTGGAACTTCATGTGATCTGGATTCTATCCCTCTGTTAATTAATGCAGCCTAGGACTGCATTGGCATTTTTTGGCAGCTGCAGCACAATGCTGGCTCCTCTTTAAGTAAGAGGGCCAGTTTAGCAACCCCTGTGCTTAGTGGGTGCCCTTTAATTTTCCACTGCTGTGACTCAGTTCTTCCAACGTGGGCCAACTTTCCACGCTAAGAAATCCTGTGATTCAGATACTGGGTAGAAGGATAAATCTGAGGAGGAAGATGGAATTTAAGGAGGTGATTTAAATTTAAATTCTTACCCCTGGCTATAGAGCAGGAATCAAAATTCAATTATCCCTGATGCTGGTACAGATAATCCTCAGTTTACAACCATCTGTTTATTTTCAAAAAGGATTTTTCAGAAAGAGACTGGACAATCACCTGTCTGAGATGGTATAGGTTCTCCTGCTTGAGCAGGGGGCTGGACTAGAAGACCTCCAAGGTCCCTTCCAGCTCTGTTCTATTCTATTCTATTCTATTCTATTCTATTCTATTCTGTTCTGTTCTGTTCTATTTTATTCTATTCTGTAATTTTATTCTATTCTGTATTTCTATTCTATTCTATTCTGTAATTCTATTCTATTCTATTCTATTTCTATTCTATTCTGTAATTCTGTTCTATTCTGTAATTCTATTCTATTCTGTATTTCTATTCTATTCTATTTCTATTCTGTAATTTTATTCTATTCTGTAATTCTATTCTATTCTATTCTATTCTATTTCATATTCTATTCTATTCTATTCCATTCCATTCTATTCTATATTCCATTCCATATTCCTATTCTATTCTACTCTACTCTACTCTACTCTACTCTACTCTACTCTACTCTACTCTACTCTACTCTACTCTATTCCATTCCATTCCATTCTATATTCCATTCCATATTCTATTCTGTTCTATTCTATTCTATTCCATATTTCTATTCTATTCTGTTCTGTTCTATTTTATTCTATTCTGCAATTCTATTCTACTCTATTCCATTCCATTCCATTCTATTCAATTCTATATTCCATTCCATATTCTATTCCATATTCTATTCCATATTTTATTCCATATTCTATTCCATATTCTATTCTATTCTATTCCATTCCATTCCATTCCATTCTATTCCATTCCATTCTCCAATCAAAGTTACAATTGCACCGAAAAACAGGGACTTATGAATATTTCTCCCACTTATGACCTCCAGGGTCACATGATCAAAATTCAGACACTTAGCTACTGACTCATATTTATGACGGTTGCAGTGTCCCGGGGTTATGTGATCTGCTTTTGCGACTTTCTAACAACAACCAAAGTCAACAGGGAAGGCAGATTCACATCAACCAAGTTGCTGACCGAAGAAGTACAGTGATTCACTTAATAACTGTGGCAAGAAAGGTTGTAAAATAGTTTTTTTTAACTGTAATTTCTACCTGTTGTAACAAGGTAGGTTACCTGCTCCTGATACTTTGTAAATTGGCTGCAGTTGGCAGAATGGTGGTTCTACCTCTGATCATTAGGCAGGGTCTATTTCAGGGCTCTCCAAACGTGGCCACTTTAAGACTTTGGAATTCAACTCCCAGAATTCCTCAGCCAGCTGTGCTGGCTGAGTAAATTCTGGGAGATGAAGGCAATCCAGGTCTGAACGTTGCCTAGTTTGGCTGGCTGGGGAATTCTGGGAGTTGAAGTCCACAAAGTTGCCACGTTTGGAGACCCCTGCTCTAGCATGGCACATTTTTAGGAGCTGTTTTTTTTAACTGAGTCATAAAACTGCAGTTTACTTTGATGAGCTTCTACACTGTAATTTTGAGGTGAGTGTTGACACAGCTGAAATTCCAAACCTATTTGTGTTGAAATCTTTCAAAATAGAGGAGCTAACACTTCATATAAGCAAACTCTGAGATCCGCCCAAGTCAGCAGAAACCCTCTGCTGCCTGTGAGTTGTCTACACATCTTCAGGGCAAATTGGAGGAGGGAGGGAGGGAGGGATAGATAGATATATAGTTAAATAGTTAGATAGACAGATAGATAGATAGATAGATAGATAGATAGATAGATAGATAGATAGATAGATAGATAGATAGATGATAGGAAAGAGAGAGGGAGGAAGGGAGGGAAGGAGAGATAGATATAGATATGGATGGGTGGGTGGATAGGGATAGATAGATGATAGATAGATGATAGATAGATAGATAGATAGATAGATAGATAGATAGATAGATAGATAGATAACCTTTATCGTCATTTTTTTTCCTGTGGGCATAATAGCAACAGGAAGGAAGGAAGGAAGGAAGGAAGGAAGGAAGGAAGGAAGGAAGGAAGGAAGGAAGGAAAAAGTAAAGGAGAAGAAGGAAAGGAACGGAAAGAAAAAAGAAAAAGATAGGGAAGAAAGAAAAAAGAAAGAAAGAAAGAGAGAGAGAAAAAAAGAAAAAAGAAAAGAAAAAGAAAAAAGAAAAAAAGAGAAAAGAGAAAGAAAGAAAAGGAGGGAGGGAAGGAGGAAGGAAGGAAAGAAAAAAGTAAAGGAGAAGAATATAGGGAGGGAGGGAGGGAGGGAGGGAGGGAGGGAAGGAACAAAAGAAAAAAGAAAAAGATAGGAAAGAAAGAAAGAAAGAAAGACAGAAAAAAGAAAAAAGAAAAGAAAAAGAAAAAAGGTAAAAGAGAAAGAGAGAAAATGAGGGAGGGAGGGAAGGAGGAAGGAAGAAAAGAAAGAAAGAGAAAAAGAAGAAAAGAAAAAAGAAAAGAATGAGGGAAGGCGGAAAGAAGGAAGGAAGGAAGGAAAGAAAGAAAAAAGTAGAAGAATATAGGGAGGGAGGGAGGGAACAAAAGAAAAAAGAAAAAGATAGGGAAGAAAGAAAGAAAAAGAAAGAAAGAAAGACAGACAGACAGAAAAAAGAAAAGAAAAAGAAAAAAGGGAAAAGAGAAAGAAAGAAAACGGGGGAGGGAGGGAAGGAGGAAGGAAGGAAGGAAAGAAAGAAAGGAAAGAAAGAATGAGGGAAGGAGAAAGAAAGAAAGAAAGAAAGGAAGGAAGAAAAAGAAAAGAAGAAGACAAGGAAGAAGGGAGGGAGGAAGCCATTGGGAAAGCTGAAATAACAAAGAAACAGCTACGCAGAGAGAGCAATGGGGCCCATAGCAGAGCCCAAACCCACCCCCTGAATTTAACACACTTCCCCCAATTCACCCCATTTTGATTCAGATGATCACCAACCTGCCCTGTTTCAGAGCAGGCCCCTTTAAGAGGGACAGACTTCAACTCCCAGAATTCCCCAGCCAGCCACGCTGGCTGGGGAATTCTGGGAGTTGAAGTCCGCCCCTTCTTAAAGCGGCCAAGTTTGAAAAACTCTGCGGCGAGGGCGACGATTAATCCAGCCGTTAGCTTCCCGAGAGCCACCGATACCATCTCGCGGGGTAGTAGCTCAACACCCATCCTTCCCAGCCGCCGCTAGACACACCTCTGCAGAAAGGAAGGGACACTTACAGTTAGGAGACTGATCGCCCAGCAGAAATCCGGATGCCTTTTCATTTTGTCCACTTTCAGAGCAACAGGAGAGGCAGATAAATCTTCCGAGGTAGGCTGAAAGGATAGGAGAAGACCCGTTAACTGCGAGAAGGGCCAGCTCAGAAACCTTATATTGCTTCCAAATGGTGGTTTGTCTCTCCATCGTGGTCTATGTTTACCTTCATCTTACATGTTATTTTGGAAGGGGGCGGAGAGCTGGGCTGTTTATCTCTGCAAAGGAAGTTTTTCTGGGGATGATTAAGTTAAAAGGAAAGGAAATCAGAGGTGTTGTGGGCTTCCAGCTGTGTGTGGGAACCGTCTGGTTTCCCGTGGGTGTGATTGATACTGAATGCAGCAAATGCCACATGTGCAAGCTTCCTTCCTTCCTTCCTTCCAGCTCCAAATGATAGTTTCTAAGCCCCCCCCCACCGCCTCCATCCCCCATCACAAGATGCTAAATGCCCCAGCATTAACAGGACCCTGAGATCAACTCAGAGTTGAGAAAGGAAAGTCCATCTTAGGAATTTCAAGTCAAAATGCCAAAGCCCATATATATATATATATATATATATATATATATATATATATATACATACACATACATACACACCTTTGTGGGAAGTCAGGCCCCCAGAGAAGGAAATATTAAAAGGGCAGAAAAATATATTTCTTCAAAGGATCTTAAAGAGGCAGAAAAGCAGGCCCAAGTCTCTCTCCGCCAAGCAGAAACCAGCTCTGTAGAAATGCAGATGTGATAATCCATTCAGGAAGGCTGGAGGCCTCCAGCTAGAAGCTTAGGAAGACAAAGACACCTAAAATCTACATAATTTCCCCCCCCCCCCAAAAAAAAACCTCTAATTCAGGACATAATAGGATTAAACCACAAATGCCAAAGAGGCACACTCAGACTCAGGTCAAAGTACATGACACAGGAAATACAAAGCCTCAAAGAGGAACAGGAAACAACTCCAAACAAAATGCTCCAGAGGGTATAAACAGCCACTCCCCACATGTGCTCAGCCCCTTTTTCTCTCTCTCTCTTTTCTTCCAGAGCCATCTTCCTGTCGGGGTCTCCTCTTCAATAAACTGCAACCTTCTTTCTAAAGTAGTTGCCGTTTTGTTTATTCCCGGCTTGGACTGAACCACTATGAAGACTCTTCCTTCAACACCTTGTTACATCAGGCTCTAGAAAACGGAACAATACCTTGTTGACTTGTTTAGTGGCTGTTCAAAGTTACAACGGCACGGGAAAAAGGGACTTAGGATTGTTTTCATACTGATACCCACGGTCACATGATCAAAATTTGGACACTTGGCAACTGGCATGTACTTAGGACGGTTGCAGTGTCACTCAGTATTGAGTGACCCTGATTGCTCTGAAGACCTGCAGTGTTTTGCTTAACAACTGTGGCGAGAAAGGTCTTAACATGGGACAAAGCTCACTTAACAACCGTCTCGCTTGGCAATAGAAATTTTGGGCTCAGTTGTGGTTGTAAGTTGAGGACGTACTAGATCAACAATCAAATGAACTATAGCCCAATCAAGGAACGACCAACTCAGAAAAGCAAGCTAACAGTAAGCAGCAGCCTGATCAAAGAACTATCATCAAGACTGATAAGGCAAATCACATATATATAAAAGAGAGAACAAGCCCCATTTCACTTCTAGCACTGATGATGTTACCTAGTTGGGTCATGAAACGTCTGCAAGAAAAACATCAATCTCAGAGAGCACCAAGGATCCCACAGTCGTCCTCCTCCTCCTCCTCCTCCTCCTCCTCCTCCTCCTCCTCCTCCTTTCTACAAACCCCACTCCCTTCTAGACTGATGATGTTAACTAGTTGGGTCATGAAATGTCTGCAAGAAAACAACCCAGCTCAGAGAGCATCAAGGACCCCACATTCCTCTTCCTCCTCCTCCTCCTCCTCCTCCTCCTCCTCCTCCTCCTCCTCCTCCTCCTCCTCTTCCTCCTCCTCCTCCTCCACAATCCCCTCTCTCTTCTAGAACTGATGATGTTCCCTAGTTGGGTCATGAAACATCTGCAAGGAAACAACCAAGCTCAGAGAGCACCAAGGACCCCACAATCTTCCTCCTCCTTCTCCTCCCCCCTTCTTCTAGCACTGATGGCGTTACCTAGATGGGTCACGAAACGTCGGCAAGAAAACCTCCCAGCTCAGAGAAGCACTAAGCACCCCTCTTGTCAGAATCCAATTATATTTCATCTTTAAATTATCAAATATAAAAACTCCCAATTCTGCCTTCTCTGGATTCTGCCATAAGAGGGAGAGAAGGGGGAGAACAAAGGGGCTTTATGGCCCTCACTTCCTTCTTTACACTTCAAAGAGCTAAATGCTGAATGTGTGTTTATTGTAACCTCGAAGTGTTAGCATACCAAAGGAGAGTAATTGCCTTTCATGTAGTTATCTGAAGTCTCCATCCAGACGGAAGAAAGAAGAAAGGGAGTGGAATTGTGATACTTGAAACTATCACTGGAAGGGGGGTTGATTGGGTGGGACTACTGGGGAACCCCTTAAAACCTTGAATGGGAGAGCTTGGACCCCAAGTCCTGTCTAGCATGCCTACAACCATTTTCTCTTAATAAAGGATTCCTGTTGGAAGAATTATTCCAAGAGTTCTGTCTTCTTAAGATGCAAAGTGGGGTGGGTCCTTACACCTCTTTTCCACCCCGAAATATGAATTTTCTCTTCTGTCTTCCACAAGCAAATTCAGTATCGAGTGACCCTGATTGCTCTGAAGACGGCCCTAAGCCCAGGGGTTTTCTCCCCCCTCCCTCCTCCAGGAGCAGAAAACGCTCCTTTTTATTAAGGAGCCATTTCCGGCTGGATACCGATTCTCCCTGAAACACAAGCCAAACCGCCTCAAAGTCACCTTCAAAGCGATCACAAGAGAGGCTTTTTTTTTTTTTAAACCAAAACAAAAAGTCATTTCCCAAAAAAACCCTCCTGGCTCACTCTCCCTGCTATTTAAAGAAATGCTGCGCTATTCAGTCTGACTTAAGCCACGTGCTGCGGTGCAGCTGCAGGCAGCAAATTGCGCAGAGAAGAAGAATAGAATAGAATAGAATAGAATAGAATAGAATAGAATAGAATAGAATAGAATTAGAATGGAACAATAGAATAGAATTAGAATTGGAATTAGAATTAGAATAGAATTAGAATGGAACAATAGAATTAGAATTAGAATTAGAATAGAATAGAATAGAATAGAATAGAATAGAATAGAATAGAATAGAATAGAATAGAATAGAATTAGAATGGAACAATAGAATAGAATTAGAATTGGAATTAGAATTAGAATAGAATTAGAATGGAACAATAGAATTAGAATTAGAATTAGAATAGAATAGAATAGAATAGAATAGAATAGAATAGAATAGAATAGAATAGAATAGGAGTGTGTGTGTGAGGGAACTGTGCATCAGGGGTCCAAAATGGAGTCAGAGACGTTGACACAAACTGGTAAAGCTGGTCCTCGACTTACAACAGTTCATTTAGTGACTGTTACAATGGCACTGAAAAAAGGAACCGATGACCATTTTTCCCACTTACGACTGTTGCGAAGGGTTGTAAGTCGAGGACTACTCGTAGTTGATAACCCTTAGGGCCGGGGTAGGCAAGCTTGGCTCTTTTATGACTTGTGGACCTCAACTCCCAGAATTCCTGAGCCAGCATGGGGGAACTATGGCCCCTTCATGACTCGTGGACTTCAACTCCCAGAATTCCTGAGCCAGCATGGGGGAACTATGGCCTCTTTATGACTCATGGACTTCAACTCCCAGAATTCCTGAGCCAGCATGGGGGAACTATAGCCACTCATGACTCGTGGACTTCAACTCCCAGAATTCCTCAGCCAGCATGGGGGAACTATGGCCCCTTCATGGCTAGCTCAGGAATTCTGGGAGTTGAAGTCCACGAGTCGTAAAAGAGCCAAGGTTGCCTTCCCCGGCCCTAGGGCCATTTGAGGCCGAGACAGATTTCATCCGATTCGTTTAGTGACCGTTCAAACTTACAACGGCACTGGAAAAAAAATGACCCATGACTCGTTTTTCGCACTTATGACCGTTGCAGCATCTCTGTAGTCACGTGATTTACATTCGGACACTTGGCAACCTGATTCAGAGTTATGACGGTCACAGTATCCCAGGGATCACGTGATCCCCTTTTGTGACCTTCTGGCAAGCAAAGTCAAAACCAGATTCGCTTCACAACCGTAGGACTAAACAACTGCAGTGATTCACTTAACGAATGTGGCAAGAAAAGTCGTAAAATGGGGCAAAACTGACTCAACAACTGTCTCACTTAGCAACAGAGATGTTGGGCTCAGTTGCGGTCGCAAGTCGAGGACTACCTGTTGTTTTTTAGAAATAAATGTAAATATAAGTAATACAATTATTATTTATAAATATATTTTACATCTCTCTATAATATACAGCAAACAAGCTAGTCAAGCCCATCGTGAGGTAAATCGTGAGGTAAATCACAGGACAGCATCCAGAGCATCCATCCTTGCCGTGCATGCTGGGAAATGAAGTCCACGCTTCCCTTGACCGCTGCAAGTCCAAGGGCGCCCCTCTTTGTTTGAAACCGCTTTGCACACTCAGCCAAACAGAAGCAAAGCGTGCTGGGCTTGGCTTGCAAAATTGAAGTCTCTTCTTGAAATGCGCTGGGATGACAGTACCCATCATCCCCCAGAGAGGCCAGCCACTGGGAAAGACCACACCGCCTTTAGCATCCCAGATCCCTGGAGAACTGGACTGCTTAACAGAAAACCGATGCTCACTCGTTAATGAGGCATTACGACCTTTTTTTTGTCTAGCCCAGCAATTTGGATGCAAATCACGTCCAATTAATTAAGCATCTCCCAGAGAAGAGTGGGGTTTTTTTTCATTCACAGAACTACAGGGAGTCCTCAACTTATGACCATTATTGGGGCGAGAATATCTATCGATAAGCAAGGGAGTTGCATCCGATTTTACTACCTGTTTGCCACCATTGTTAAGTAAATCACAGCGGTTCTGAGGAGAATCATAGGGATGTTAAACAAAACCAGCTTCTCCTATTTTTTTTTTTTAAATGACCTCTTTTGCTACAGTTGTTAAGAGGACCGCGGCAGTTGCTAATTGAATCCTGCGGTCATTAAGTGAAGCCAGCTTCCCTTATTGATTTTACTCGGTGGAAGTGCGCTCTGCGGGGAAGGTCACGATCGTGTGACCTGGGACGCTGGAACTGCAGATAGTCCTCAGCTTATGGCCCCAATTGAGGTCAGTCTCATTTTTGTGCAAAACCAACCCCTTTGCTCTGCCTGGAGGTCAAAAAAGTCAAGATGGCGGCAATAAGGCATGCAA